GTCTTTTTGCTTGTCTAAATGCGGCATTTTCGATGCGGAAAGGTTTGCTGCTGATTTTGCTGCTTTCAGGACCCGCAGCAACAGCAGCAACTGCTGCTGCTGGCAGAGGCCGCTGCAGGCTTGCCTGATGCTCGTCAGGGCCCTGCAGTACAACAGCAGCAACAGCAGCAGCAACAGCGACAGCATTCAAAGTTTGCTTTGCTAGTGGAGGCAGTACTTGCTGCCGCAAAGACCCCTCAGAATGGCAACAACACGCAGTTACTGCTCCAGCTTGTGGACCTGCTGTCCACTGCTGTTGCCTTGCAGCAGCAGCAGCAAACCGCGAGTTCTGTATTAACCCCAGGAGAAGTGGACATTATGTATGCTGCAGTGGAGGCTGTTGCAAAGCAACAGCTCTTGCAGCAGCAAGTGCTACAGCAGCAGCTGCAGCATCAGCACGGACACACTCTAGTGCAGGAACAGCAGCAGCAGCTGAGGCCTGGGGTCAAGGGACTGGCCCAAAGGGAGCAGCAGCAGCAGGTGCTGCAATTGCAAAGGCTACAGCATTTGTCTGAGGGCGTAGAGTCACCGTGCTCAACTGCCTCTTTCACAGCATCACTGGCAGCGACGGCAGCAAATCAAGCAACAGCACTGCCAGCAAGTCCAGCAGCTCCTGAAGCAGCAGCGACGACTCAGCAGCAGCAGTACAAGCCCCTGCCAGTTCGCACATTTCTGGAGGATGTCTACAAGGGGCCCCTGCTGCCGCGACACACTGTGACTGCTTTGGCCTTCGGCAGCAGCAGCGAAAGTGACAGCGAGGAGAGGAAGCAAAAAAAGAGGAAGAAGGAGAGAAGAGTGAACGCAGCAGCAGCAGACGCCCTGTGGCATCCACATTTTCATCCGCACAACCAGGTAGGAGTCGAAGGGGTAGGGCTTGAGGCTTGTGGCTAGGCAAGGGGTGCAGCAACAAGGATAGAGAGCATGTGGAGAAGCGTTTCCAAGCAGCAGGCTCGGTTTCTTAACAGGACTTCATTCTTTTGTGCTTGAGCATTAGTGTTTCCGTGTCTCTTTGTGTCTTCGCTATCTTTTAATGTTACGGGTGAGCTGAGCTTTACTCGCAGCTCCAGCAACGAACTCGCAGCGGCTGGATTCCATGCGCGTACAGGCACATACACGGGAACAATATAGAGACAGCGTGTCTCTGTGTTTATATATATATATATATATACTTTCGTGCGTGCGGTAGATGAATACAAAAAATGAATACTGCAGGCTTGTGGAAATTCCATGCATATTCAGCCGGATAGCTCTAAGTCAACCAATATGAGGGCATGAACTAATGTGTATGTATTCTACACATGAGCGTCTGCGTACTTCAAGCATATGTTCATGCGTACACTGGCGCTCGCGTCAGACGGGCATCCTTGAGCTCTTTATTGTGCGCAGTGTTCAACACCACGAAGTCGTTACATCTGAGTTCTACATGCATTGCGGGGTGCATCTGTTTTTGCTGCTCCTCTGTTATTCTGTTGTTTATCTTTTCTTTCCTCGCTGCATCGCAGACGTTGCAGCGCGGACTCGAAAGCTTGCATAAGTTGCTGAGTTCATTTGTAAAGTTAGTTGTTTTCTGTTTTGTGTTTATTCAGGAATTTCGTGTACGCTACCGCTACAAAGGCTCAATGAGGCTAAAGACTCTGTCCTGTGCTCGATTCGGGCGGGAAGGGGCGAAGCTGCTGACGGGGGCATTTGTGGCCCGTTGGGAGGCAACTGGTCGCAAAGTGGCGGAGAGAACTTCACGCAGCCGACTCGCTCTTGCAGACCTCCCAGAAGACACTGCCCAGTTGCCCTCTTACGCCCGCAAACGCACTGACAGTCAGACGCGACACAGCACGAGAGGAGTGCATTCATAAATAGATAGGTGGTAGAGAGGTGGATCGTGAACTTTTTTTAGCGTATCTTGGCTTAGGCGGGCAGGTAGAAAAGCTGACGAGGCGACACTACGCAAGAGCTCCTTAAGCCCGCATCAGATGGTAGGAGTACTAAGAAGTGAACGGGAAAATAGGCAGAATCATACATAAACAGGGGGATTGAACTGGCTTGTAGGCAGTTAGATAGGTATTTTGTTGGTAGGAACACGGAGTTTGCCGAGTTGTCGGTCGCTTTGATGCTAGCAGCCCCGTTGAAAATCAGGCCAGACATGCAGACTGCAGACACACACCTTTGGTCAAGGGAATAGAGGACACGTAGACTGATGGGGACACGCAGACTGAAGATGGGTAGACACGTAGATACGTATGTAAATACACCTGCTTGGGTACGCAACGAGGCAAGCAAGGGAACGGAAGAACAACTGTGCAGATAGATAGGGAGCTGAGCAGTTAGTTAGGGTCTGAAGGGCACGGAAGGGCAGGGTAGGCAGAGAAAGGCAAGCCGCCAAAAGGTAGATACACCCACTAGCATTCTCGATGCAGCATCTTGGACCAATTGTGGGATTGGACGGGCCCGCCGTAGTTGCACAAGGAACCCAGCCTAGAGCATAAGGCTCGAATCTATGGGGTGAAGCAGTCTGGTATCGTTTGCGGTTTTGGTCTGTTTGTCCTTTCAGGTAGCCGCCACCATGCTGTGCAACGACAGCAGCAACAACTGTTGCTGCAGCAGCAGCAAGAGCTGCAGGAACATGAGCAGCAGCAACTGGCGCTGCCTCAGAATCATTTGCTGCAGCAGAATTCACCAGGCGTGCCTCATCTATTTGTGGGCTCATTAGAAAGTGGCTGTAATGATGGGGCGACAGCAGCAGGAGATAACAGCAGTGGTGTGAGGCTTCCTCGTACGCAGGTCCCGCCGAGCTTAAAAGGGCCGCCGCGCGGTGGCGTCGCAGACTCGCGGGGGACGCCCAGCTGTACTTTGGATGAGTTGTCAGGCCCCTCTTCAGCGTCAGTACTGACGCCATCATGTTCTTCTGTCAGTGCAAAGAGCCCAGCTAGCCCTGAACAATGCTCTCGCGAGGGTTTAGATACGATGTGGATTGGGGGCGGGGGGCCTGGGGCCCCGGCAGCGATCTCGGGAGGGACCTTAGCGGGGTCCCCCTCGAACCTTACGGATGAATCGGCGAGGACTTTGCTGGCTCAGAAACGCCCGAAGCCCTTAGTGAGCTTACCTAAGGAATTAAATGGCTCCCCGGCTGCTGCTGCTCCTGCTGCGAGTGGCAGCAACAAGCAAGCTTCCACTGCAGCGCCTAGTGACTCAAAGACCAACAACAGTGGCCTCATTGATCTGGGCCTTAACACAGATATCCTTCAGTCGCTTCTTGGACTAGGGGCTCCCCATGGAGGACCCTTGAACCAAGATGGCCAGCCGTTGGGGGCCCCTGAGGGGTCCAAAGCAGCCTCACAGGCGGGGGCCACCTGGGCACTGCTCGCTCCTGTTCCCCCTGTGACTCCAACAACAAGCAGCACACGGGGGAGGACCCAGGACGGGGTGGAGAACGATCTGCTACTGCAGAAACAACCGAAGCTTGAGAGAGCTGCGTTGCTACCTCTCGATTTGCTGCAGCAACTGGGACAAGGCGTCTCTCTTGCTGAGGAGACAGAGCAGCGGCAGCAACAGCAACAGCAAGAGCAAGGTGCTCTGAAGTTGCTGGAAGCTGCTGCAGCAGCAAAGTTGCGACGGCCGTGCAGCTCTGAGGAACTGACCCGCATGTTGAAGGAGACCCCCGCGAAGCAAGGAGTAGTAGCTTTCAACAAGGTCAGGAGCCCAGCGCCAGCTGAGGATTCGTCGCTCCCGCAGGAGACAGAGAAAGGTGGGTTACATCGGGTTGTATCTGTGGTAGGGATGAGATCTGCTGCCACTGCTGCTGTAGGTGAAGAGAAAAGTGCTGCTGATCCTTTGCGCCTAGGTGGAAGTTTTGCGGCGGACTTGATCGGAGAACTGTTATTTAAGGCCCAGAAGAGTAGGACAGCTGATGAAGCTGTTCCCAGCACTGGCGGCGCAGGAAAGTTTGTCAGCTTTGGTCGCCTCTAGAGCCCCTTGCTTGAACAGAAGACACGTGCGAGTCGTTGGGGCCAGTTTGAAGGCGCCGATCAAATCATTCATTCCTCAACTAGTTAAGCTGCTGGGCGTGTCCTACGAGGTGTAGCCTGCACTGCGCCGCCTTCGCAGGTTAGGTGCAGCGGCCTGGTGGACTGAGTCCATCTTTGCCCCGCTAGCTGCAGCTGGGCGGCTCGTTATGCACTGACAGCTTACGAGTCAGGCTGCGCTAGCCTTACCTTGCTACCCATTCACGTCCGGGCGTACAGCTGGCGACGATCCGGCAGTCTACTGTCTGGCCTGCTTGCTAGCTAGGTGTTCGGACGGGGCTAGCCAGGAGCTTGGAAACTTGAGTAGCCTCCGCGCCTACAGAGAGCTTGGAGGCTTGGTGCGGGTTGGCGAGAAGTACTAGCAATGGACAATTAATTGTAAACCGGCTTGAAGCAGCTAGGAATGGCAGTGGCTAGCCTAGCTAGCTACGGCTGTGGCTAGTGAAAGGAGCTGTGGTTTGACTTTAACGCCTCAGGGCTTCCTACAGCAGCCCGGCTGTCGGGGGCCCTTCGGGGTCACCCGCAGTGAAATATGTGAAGTTTGCGACTATCGATGACCCCTGTCATTGGCCGTGCGACCCAGTGGGGTCTTGCAGAGTCCTTCGCCCTTTGGGGCGGGAAAAAAACAGGCTTTGGAACTGCGGCTGACAGGGTCCCCTTGGTCACTTTGGCCTTGTGAACACAAAAAATAGAGCGTTTGCTGTTTACATAAAAGCAATTCACGCCGAGGAAAATGGCGCCGCGAGCGTGGCAGGCATGCACAGATATCTACCTGCATGGACGCTAGCTAGCTGTTGAGCAGAGCTGCTCGCTTGCCAACTGGTGGCATAATTCATTACTAAAACTCAGTGCCAGAATTGGGAGACTGCATGACAGCCTCGCGATCTAGCTGCGTAGCCAGTTCGATGCCTAGCTACACAGTTGGCGCGTTGGTTTGTTTGTTATCTAGCTGGACTGCTTTCCGCAGGGGCAGACAGAAACTGCGATTCCTATGAAGAGCCCGATGAGCAGTAGGCTGGCGAGGACGTATTTGAAAATAGTGGAGGCGCTGACCCTGCCAGCTGCACCAGGAGATTCGCCTCCGTGTTCAGGTGTGGAAAGCCCATCTATTTCTTCGTTTGTTTCTCGGCTGATGCGAAGTGCCTCGGCCTTCTGAGCCTCTGAAGCGTTAGGCGGCAGTTCCAGCAGAGGCCTGTCCATATGCATCTCATTTCCTTCCCCAGGCTTGTGGTTCACCAGCTGCAAAAGCCACGGCGCACGCACACATCTAGCTCGGGTGACGCTAATTTTTTTCCGTAGCTGCTAGCTGATAAACAATAAATAGGCAAGCTTTGGAGTGAATTGTCCGCTAGGATGGCACGTTAGTGTTTTGTTCGTGTAGTGTGTCATTATTGTAGACGCCGTGGACCCCAGGTCACAGTTGAAGCTTGGTTTTACAAAGACTATAGTATAGAGGCTTACCGCAAAGTCATTCCAAGAAGGAGTTGCGGCAAACTTTCCGTTTGCGTCGTTGAAAAACTTCGCGTGATCTGAGAAGAAGCGGGTGAGTGAGATCCCTAGAGAAAAGCAGCAGCAAAAAGGCAGTGATGGTTGATGAATGCCGAATCAATACCAATATTGACATGCTAGCACGGTTGAGCCATCAACTTTGACTAGCTGGTTTTGAATAAACAGGCAGCAACACGCAGAAACGCAATCAGCAGCTTATGCATATATGTATTTGTATCTATATCGCTCTTGTTGTCTATTATGTCCCTCACGCCACTGCCACTAAAGCTTAATGCCGGATAGCCCTCACTTCTCAAATCAAGGTCCATTGGTTTGTTCTGAATTTGTTTCAAAACGTCATCAAACTCAAATTGGCTACCCGTGGGAGAAGAGAAACCCAGCAGCACAATCCTGTGAGGAAGCGCAGCTGCGCGTACGCCGTGGACACATCCGCACAAAAAATACATGAAGCGCTGGATTTTGCAAGACGCTACTTCTATAGTCAGTTTGCCATTCATTTGCTCTCCACAGATATGCTTAGCAGCGGTTCTTCGGCTAGCCAGCGACCTAATTGATTAAGCTGTTCAGGTAGCTACATGAGCAGTTGTGAGCAGCCAGGTAGAACGAGCCAGGTGTGGTAGAACCAAAATTATCGGCTTACTATCATGCTAGTTAGTTAACTAGCTGACGAGTGCCAAAATTTGGGTCTAGAATTTGTCTCACCAGGTGTGGGATCACGAAGGAGCCACTCTGTGTTGCAGGCGGCCTCTGCTTGCACTGAACAGGCGTCAGGCTTAACTTTAAGTTGAACAAGACGGACATCAGTGCCCAAAGAAGGGTCATCAATGTCGATCGAGAGAAACAGACTTTTCTCGCTTTTTATATTGGGCTCCGCAGACACCGCCCTGGCCAGCACCCCTAAGCGCTCAGCAGCTGACTCCTCGAACTCGGACGCAGGTAAGCGCACGCCGCTGAAGTAAGGCATAAACAAACACTCAATCGCCCTCTTGTTTACGTTGATTCTGTCCTATCTATTCACCCTTGTCCGTTTATCTATCCTTCTGTGTATCTGTGCCATTTATTGCTCGCTGTCTATGCCTGTTTGAGTTCATCTGTGCCTGCCGTAATGTTCTAATCTATTCTTCAGTTTCTGCATTTCCTCACTGGTTAAACTCCACGGTAAAGTGCTCCTTTCCTAGGACGAAGGGTGCCCCCAAGGCGGCAAGGCGTTGGTTGATGGCGTCTCTGCCTAGATCTCGGGAGGGCCCCTGCTCCTTTTTGGATTCCTTCAACACATGCTTCATTTCTGTTTCTGTTTCTTCACTAGCTAGCTCTTTGAGGTGGGCTTCCCCAGCCGCTGCTCCAGGTGCTTCTTTTGTGGCTCCCTCACTTTCAGACGCAGAAGCAGCCTCGGCTTCAGCCTCCGCCACTGATTCAGAGGCAGACTCTGCTGCTTTTTTTTCTGGTTCTGCTGGCTTTTTCTTTTTCATCTCTTCAGCGCCTTCACCTTCTTCTTTCTCAGAACTGCCGGCTTCAGCTTCTGAAGATACGGATATGAACAGATAGCAATGAATGAGGGAACTACGAGCATGTGTTGAAATGAAGGCAGAGAATTTGGAAATAGGAAAAAGACCCAGAACTACCCCATTAGTGCCAAAAAAAGCAGCAATCGTTACAGCCGTAACTGCAACAGCGGCAACCTTGGTGACATCAAGAGTGATAAAGCCAGCAGTTTGGCTCAAGTCAGCGGTGGCTTGCCTGATGCGCCTTCTGCCTCTGAGCCAAATTCATGCTTATGTATAGGTCTGTCCTCCATCTCTTTGTCCCCGGCCTCCTGATCCGTGAAAGCCACCATGTCCTCCACTGCAACGACCATCCACAATAAGCCCTATACCCTAATCCATAGGCCACAAACTGTAGCCAAAGCACTCTAGAAGGTGTTTACAGGCTTAAAGTGCAACAATGGCGTCATTTAAACTGCGTTGCTTGCGTCCCTGGTGGTGCTCCTGTCTGTAGCACCTGCGTGAAATGGTCTGCAGCAGCTGCAGCAGCTGCAAAGATACACACAACTGCAGTAGCCTACCAGTACGCTGTTCAGCGGGTTTGCCACTGCTTCTAAGGACTGCAGCCGAGGCTGGAAGGAGGGAGAGGTAGAGACATAGAGCAAGAGCAAATGAGCCAAGCGCGAGGGCCAACGGAGACCCTCGAGAGGGAAAAGAAGTACAGACCCTCATTTTGGAGCTTCAGATCATTGAAAGTAAGCTTACTCAAACTAATCGAATAAAGAACAGAGACAATATATGAGTAAAGTTGACATAAAGGTGAAGCGGCTACTTCCCATGGACCATCGTGCCCCTCCGTCAGTCGGCTGCGGCTGCACGCAAGCCGAGCTGCCTGTACTTGTGAAACCCCGTGCCGCTGGGGCTCCTTTTCTATTCATTTTGGATAATATAGTTTAATTTGTCTAGCATACATCTGCAGAATGTTGTTTTGTGATTTTTCCCCGCAATTTTCAGCCTTTCAACAGCCACTTTGCCAGCTAGGCGCGGGAGCCTCATGGCTGGCTGGGGCAGCCGGTGGTCCTGTTGTCTGATCCGGTTGAACTCTGGCTGCAGCTTGCTTCCCTGACAAAAATATAAACTGCTTTCAATGCGAAGGCTCCATGCTGATGCAGAACCGGGCCCCTGAGCATTTTCTTATAGCGGAAGATGGCAGCCTGCGCAGCCGCAAAGTCACGGCAATAAGACGTCTGCTCTGACTCCCAGGAGCCTAACCCAACACTTTAGAGCCTTATGCAGAATTCCTAGTTTTGACTTGACACTTGCTTAGGCGGTTTGGTAGAGCGGAACCACCACCACTCTTGCCTCGCGCTACCCGTAGAACATATTTGTCTAAAAATAACACCGGCACCACGGCACTCAACGTGCCAGAACCATTGCATCGTGTACTTTCGGCAAAGCTGCTAACAAAGGCATTGTAGATCTCACATATAACATTAGACCCAAGGGACCAGAACATATGGCATGCGGCTGCAGAACCTGGAGAATTTATGTGATCTGACTACGGGAAAAAAGACTCGAACCTGCTGCATGATCCCTTGATGACGTTACAAAAATGTAATACCACGTTTCTACATGCCTTACAGTGGCTATGTTTGCTCCAGTTAGTGCGAGGATGATTGCAAACCGCAAGGAGATTCGCGCATCACCTCTAGGGGCCCCTTCCGATGTGTAGCTGATGAGCAGACAAATTTTGCGCCTACAGCTTTTAGGCAAACTCTGTGAAGACCTACACCTGGATGGTAGACAGTCTGGGGCACCTCTGGGACTTGTATACGAAGCTTGGTTGTGCAATCGCCAAAAATCCTGGGGTTTCTGGTCTCTGAGCGCCAAACCTACTGAGCGCGGAGAAAGTCCCACACAGCCAAACGGATTACCTGAAGGCCGTTCAAAGCCGGACGTGCACCGAGGCAAACAGATGTTTAGCCCAAAATATTTTTCAAACGATTTATTATACTTAGTTGCTCAAAACGGTATGCGACGAGAGCCGCTGAATGCCACATGAAAAGTCCTAAGTGAGAATTTCAGCATGAAACCACACGAGCTTACTCAAGGGCTTTTTCTAAGCTTTTGTCAAACGATTTCGGGCACATATCTAAAGGAACTAGAGAGGTGAATGGCCACACTACACATGCACTCTGGCGGCGGTGTACGCCTGTTACTGGGCGATAATACTTGATTTTTATGATGCTATGATTGTGGCTGTAGGAAATTGGCTAGTGACAGCTGCATAATTAATCCACTCAAGACCATAGCAGGAATAAGTGGAGCCGTATGGTGGACAGCAACAGTTGCACGGGCCACACTAATCAGTTGCGTACGGCGTGTAGGATAACCACGCTTAAAGACCCCAAGAGTTTGGCAAACAGCAAAGAACCCCCATTCTATGTTTATGGCAGCGAGCACGTGAATGCCCATTGCCACTGGTGCTCCGGCGCGCGGTGAAGCCCTGCGTTTCCTTGTATTGCGTCTTGCGTGCAGTGTCCGCAGTTCTGCTACCCCTAAAGCAGCCGAGGAAAGGCGACTTCGTATCTGGTAAAAGCATATCCACCATTCGTCCAGTGTCTAATTTCTGCGCCTGTTCCTTCTTCCAATGGTGCGCAGCTGCATGCCGCAATGAAATCCAGTTCAAGAGCAACACCTCTACACTAAGAGGCTGCTTTGCTTCCTAAGGACAACATGCTCGGCGGAGCTTTCCTAGCCACGCGGGGCATCAATGCTCACAGTCTGGATACCCTGTTGCTGTAGTTATCGTCTGTATGCTCAGGCTATTTACCCAGTTGTGAGGTTGACATGGGCAGCGCGTTGACCCATCTATAAATTGTAGATCCCTGCGGTGCGTACCTAGGGAAAAACTACACTGGAGGCTTAAGCAGAAACAGAAAAACAAATATCTGAGATGAACAGGAGACTGAGGCAACAGGCTTATAGGTGAAGGAAACGCAAGACAATGCGAGACTGATACAGTGAACCAGCCAAAACTACAAAATTACCTCTTGTGTTTTGGTTTCCTGGTTTTTAGCACGTGCAGTGGCCTTCAGCACGTGCAGCAAGCCGCAGCACGAATGGCTGCAGGGAAAGGCTGACGCATGTATGCACACACGAAATTGTGCGTAGATGCAAGCGCATGCAAACTTGTCTATTTACTGAAAGCCTGTTTTCACATGTCTAGCACATGCACTTCTATGTGCCAATGCACTTGAGGCGCGCGTGCACGTGTCCTGAAATTTGAGCACGCCCTACAAATAAACGAACGAACAGCAGTATTTAAAAAGAACTGTGGGATTTGGTAGATCGACTCCTGCACGTGCCTTTGCTCGTGTCTGAAGAGGATAGACATGCTCAACACGAATTTACATGCATTAAGACTGACGCCAGAAATTGCGTACTTGAGCACATACGTGCAGCCTTCCATGCATTAGGATATGCATGCCCCCCTACGGACATACATTCACATCGCTTACGCGTGCGTACACTCATACGTATGTATTCCTAGATGCAGACACATGCATCTACACAATGATACATATATTTGAACTCGACCGCAGAGGCCTCGTGTAGTTCGCAAGCGTTTCCGGGGTCAAAAAAAGTAGCACAGCCACGGCAGCCACATGGGATCTCCGAAGAACGAAGACAGATATGAAACGAACATCACAGATAGGCGCCAACAAGCCTTTCATGAGAAACAAGCTGCAATTGCGTGCAACCCCGGACTTACGCGACTACGAAAAGTAAAGACGTTTTGAAAGCTATATGACACAAGCAAGACCATCCCTATACAAAGCAACTTGCATGGTCGCAAAAAGCCCGGCTCTGTGATGAACGGCCAGGTTCGTCAAAAGCATGGACAAAGATATTCGATGTGCGACCAAACTCTGGAGTGCACAAGAGATAAATGAGGTGTACATCCCAGTACTTTTGTTTCAAGAGATCTACTTGCAGTGTATCGACAAATATGCGAGGAACTTCGGGGCACCTTTGCGGTGCCAATTGCTCTTGAATTCGCACGGAGAGGCCCGCGGCACCCAACCCTCGTTTCTTTGCCCTTCTATTGCATGCACTTAGAACTCTGCGTGCCCTGGGTATCTTGGGTAGGGGATTGTATCTCTGATGTTTTCGATTCCAGTGACAAGCATGATGAGCCTCTCGAAACCCAGGCCGAAGCCAGCGTGCGGCACCGTGCCGTAGCTCCTCAACTCTCTGTACCACCAGTAGCTGTCAAGGTTAAGCCCCTTTTCCTTTATCATTCTGTCGAGTTTTTCCAAATCTTCCTCCCTCTGGCTTCCGCCAATTAGTTCTCCAATCTTCGGCACCAGCACATCCATGGCCCTCACTGTCTTTCCGTCTTCATTCTGCTTCATGTAGAAGGCCTTGATGTCCTTAGGATAGTCATGCACAATGACTGGCTTCTTTGCAAGCTGTTCTGTCAAATATCTCTCGTGCTCACTTCCCAAGTCCATGCCCCACTCTACCTTCTCCTGAAACTTGACCCGTCCCTCAGCCTCCTCACGCTGTAGGCGAACCACCGCATCCGTGTAAGTAAGCCGTTCAAACGGCGCAGCCAGAATGTTCTCCAAGCGAGCTCGCAGTCCTTCCTCCTGGTTCTTCTCAAACCAGTCTATTTCTGAACAAACACAAACCCACAAGGCGAAACTGTTAGTTCCAATTGCACAAAAAATGCGCCCTACTGTGGCGCACATTCACAATTCCAATCTGGCAACACCTGTTCCTGCCAGTTTAGCTAACAGTCAAGCAGGTGCGCTCGCTCCTGCCTTGGTGTAGCACTATTCAAATGATATTCGCATTTTGATGTTTTCCTGGCGTCTTTACGTGCTTGCCATGACGCTCAGCACCTAGTTGTGTCAATTCTAGCTACTTCACTTTGTGTCTACTGCGGCTGTTTGTCTGCGCCTGCCCACCTCCGCTGCAGTTGTCGAGGCAACTTTTCACGCAAAACTTTACGTATTGCTCAGCCAACTGCATATCGTCCTGGAGGTCCGCGAAGGCAATCTCTGGCTCCACCATCCAAAATTCGGCTAAGTGCCGGCTGGTGTGGCTGTTCTCTGCCCTGAAAGTGGGGCCGAAAGTGTACACGTCGGCGAGAGCGCAGCAGTAAGGCTCCACCGCAAGCTGTCCAGACACCGTGAGGTAGGCGTGACGGCTGAAGAAGTCCTTGGCGTAGTCGATCTCCCCCTTGGCGTTAACTGGAACTGCTTTCTTTGGATCTTCCGGCAACAAAGTCGAGACGGAAAACATTTCCCCCGCCCCCTCGCAGTCTGAGGCCGTTATGATGGGGGTGTGTATGTACTGGAAGCCCCGTTCCTGGAAGAAGCGATGGGTAGCCATGGATAGCTGGGATCTAATCCGGGCCACTGCGCCCATCAGCTGCGTGCGGGGCCGCAGGTGGGCAATTTCGCGAAGGTATTCGCGGCTATGTTCCTTCTTGGCCAACGGGTACTTTGCCGCATCTGTAGTCCCCAAAATCGTAATTGAGTCGCCTGAGTCGGGCACAGGAACAACGAAACGCTGAGACGCTTGAGAAACCCCACATGCAGACAAATACTCATCTACAGTTGCTCCCCCGTAACGAAATGAGAAGCGCACACGAAGTTGAAACCGGGGAAAAGGCAGAGATCGAATAAATTAAGCCGCATGCAAAGGATGTCATCAGCAGCAAACCCCGCGAAGATAAATGCCCACGACACAAGTCAAACGCCCAAGCTTGTTGATGCGTTAAGAAACGTGTTGCATAGCCGAAAAGACCTGCCCCCAATTCAGCAGGTCCGCCAAAGGAATAAAGAGACTGGCAAATGGATTGAAGACCAGTGAAACACAGGGGTTGGCCTAAACCCTAAACCCCAAACCTACCTCTCTCTGGTTCTGCAACTTGAAGCTCTATGGGCTGCCCCTTGGCTGGGCTCTCAACGACCCGCCCGCAGAACTTGAAGGAGCAGCCGACGCCGCACTTAATCAATTCGTCGAACTTGGGGATGGTCTTGTTGACCACCACTTGGAGGTTGGCAGCGCAGCTGCCGTCAGTCAAGACCACAAAGCACAGGCTGCCGCCCCCTTGCTTCCGGATGCTGCGGCTCCACCCACATACTGTCACCTGCCTGCCTATGAACGTAGCAGCAGCGCACGACGCCAAGAGAGCAGCAAGGCGCATGCGGCCCCCCCCAGGGCCGTAGACAGCTATGGGCTGCACGTAAGAAAGAGCAGCTGTCTCAGAGACGGGCGGCAGCGAAGGTGGACTTGGTGCGGAGCCCGCCATAGTCATTGTGAGAAGATGTGACAGGAAGCAGCAGTAAAGTCTTCAAGGGATACAGGAGCTCAGGGTAGGACTCGATCGCGAGACCGAGAGACACCTCCACAAGTGATCGGTAGGGGAGGAGAGGCCCAAGATGCTGTGGTGTGCAAGTTGACAACGAGCTTGTGAGAAATCATACAAACTGGATGTTGTTAAAACGCATAAAGAATATCAGCTGGATGCAGACAATACGGAAACAGTAAAAGCAACAACCGCGCAAGGAAGACAGCTTTACGGCCCCGCAAGCCCTGTCCTCGCACCGGCTGCTCCCGCAGCAGCAGAAAACACCAAGACCAGCAGCAGCAGCAGGAGCAGCCCCAACGAGGGAACCACCGGCAAAACTTAACGTTTCTTTTTTTCAATTTGTCGCATTTGTGAAAAAAAGGGAAGGAAGGGATATTTTGCGCTGCGCCATTGCTCTCCGGCTGCGTAAGCCGGCTGTGCAGAGCATCACGATGAGGTTCTCAACTTATAGGATGATGTATAGGTGCGTAGTTCTATCTGTTTCCGCTTATTTTGGCCTTGAATTCGTTCATCAGACTTTTCACGAACAAAATATGAGTACAGAAGTTGAGAAGAGCGGAAAGCTGGCCCAATTTGCTGCCGTTCGGCTTGCTGGTGTGTATGCAGCTCGGGCTGTGAATGGAGCTTGCGGTGTACAGATAGGTTGAGGTGTATGTGCTGCTCCAGAGTATATATTTGTAGCTGCGCTTTTGCTTATGCCTCCCCACAGGGTCGCCACCCAGCATTTCGGCCCCACAGCACAGTACCGCAAGCTGTACCAGGCCCCTGTGCATTTGGCTGCGGTTCTTCCCTATACGCTGACGAGGACGTAAGATACGCACCTCCTGCGATATCATATTAGATTTGATGAAAAGTTGCGTCGCCTTCTCCGTTTTGCGTTTGACTGCCGGCCTGTTGTTCGTTTTCGCCTCTTCGCGGGTGTGACATCTGCACCGTTGCCTGTTTGTAGCTGTGTTTTCTTTTGTGAAGTTAGTTAGGCATGCATAGCTGCGTGTATGACTTGAAATATGCAGTTTAGACGCATAACAGCGCCTCTGTTGCATTGTAGTGCTGTATCTGTTCCACATTGGGTTTCGCCCTTTGTATAATCCGCATCTTTGATTCCTTTCGTTTCATGTTTCTCCGTTTTTGCCCCTTGACTCGGGTTGTACGCAGCCGCCTGCACTTGTTTTTTTCTTAATTCATTCAACAGTGCCCACATCCGTTGCTGTATGTCTGGTCTCCCCTTTTTGCAGCAACCCTGTCACTATGCGTCCCGAGGCCTCGGGATCGCTGACGTCTCCCCTTGTTTCCTCCCTATTCGCAACTGCAATGAAGAACGCTTCGCTTGTATCTCCGGCGAGCGAGTTGTCGGCTGCGGGTATGCGGCATCACGAGCCCATTGGGTAGTTTAGTGGTGCTTAATTGACTCAATTGATGTACATAATAGCCATTTTAGCCTTTCTTTGTCCTTACGGTGAGTCGGTTGCTTTGCTGCACTGGGGCAGAAGAAGGAGGGCTGTAAAGCTCAATTGGCGGCGCTTTTCTCTCATACTCGTCGCTGATTCGTGGATGTCTTTGTTTGGTCTTTAGCTGCCTTTTTGCTCGTCCATTTCCCTTTTGTTTTTGCCTCTGTGACTTGGTTTCCGCCAATGATGCATATCAATAGCGCATGTATTACTGGACATACACCGCAGGTGTACTGACAGCTCGAATAATCTATCCCTGAGGAAACGGCATTAGATGAGCATGCATGTTTTTTCTGATTGGCTTTTTTGTGTTGCATGGGGCCTGTAGGACCTGCAGTGGGGTGCATTTGTTTTGCAGATTCAAGTATTTCCTGCTCTTGCTTGTGGCTTGGTTTTGTTTTTTTCTGTTTGTGTATAATCGTGCTCTTCTTTTTATCGCTGTGCCCTTTTGCAGACACCAGTTGTATTTCCTGCTGGCTAGTTGGCTGCATAGACGAGTATAGATGCATGATGAAATTATTGCATCAGTACGTCACTGTTCATTCATCCTGGTTCCTTATTTGTGCTTTCGCATGATTCCTCTATTTGTTGAGTTCTAAGATTGCCCCTCTAGGTGCCCTCGTATTGGCTCTCCTGAGGTGTTGCTTTCATCTACATTTCTCTCTATTCATGTGAAACCTTCAATTGTTACTTTCTTCTTTGGCATCTCACCTTTACTGCATGTATTCGATCATATGCTAGGGTGTGTATTCGATCATATGCTAGGGTGTATGGACAGCTCGGTGCGCAGCCCGTGGGGATTTTGTCTGCGAGCTTGCCACTGTCTGGTGCCCCTGAACAGAAATTCAAAGTGGGTGCATACCTTGACTTACCTAGATTTCCTTGCTTGCATAGACGAGTATTGATGCGTGATAAAATTTTCGCATTAGTACTCCGCCTTTTGTTCATCCTTCTTTCTCATTGCTGTGTTCGTACGATTTGTTTTTCTGTTTGTTTCGCTTCCGGTTTGCCTGTCTTGCTGCCGCCCGCATTTGGTCTTTTGAGATGTTACTTTCGTTTCCCAGAGGCCCCCCCGTTATTGCCTGTTTTCTTTCTTGAAACCATTCAAAGCACAAATTTACATATTTGATCTGTTGAGTCTGCATAAAGACATGATTGGTAGTGGTTGTGTAGTTGGGGAGGTGCTTTATTGGTTCTGTGTTTTCGTTTCTTCGCACACCTTTTACTGATTGCAGTTTAGGGGGTTATTATGCCTATTGGCATTGCTTTCTTTTACTGCTCACTTGCAGATGTATTAGCGCAATTGTTTGACTTCATGCATTTTTTGAGTGTACTTTTTTGCGTATGTACGCGTCAGTTTCGGCTGTACATGCACCTCTGGCGACTTTAGGCGACCTTGCATTCGAAATGATTCGTGAGTTAATATCTTTTTTAGTCCATTACGTTTGCTGATTCCAAATAGAGAAGAGATATGCTCGTTGGTAAGCTTCTCAGTTTCTTGACTTTGGACTTGTTTCTTGTTCGGGAGGTCGCCGTACACCCTGTGCTGCTGTGGTGTATGTGCAGTCCCACAAATGAAATTTCGCGAGTACTATGATCCATATTCTAGAATTAATTTAATGAGGTCCGTCTTAATGTGTTGTGCTTGGCCAGACAGGAGGCTACGTAGGCTCACTAGAAACCTATTTATTCGTTGTACATGCTTCATGCTTTGCGTGGACTACTGCTATGTTCATGCGTGAACGGTCCGTCCATAAGCTAACTTTCTTATCTGTGCACCTTCCGCCGCCCAGTGATTGAAGCGATTCGCGCATGTATTACTGGACATGCACCTCAGGTGTACTGACAGATCTAATAGTTTATCCCTGAGACGATGGCGGTATTTTCTATTTCCCAGCGCCATTCTCAACTATATTCATGCCACTGTGGCCTTTTCGGTTTTTGCTTGTAAATATGGGCTGTAGTAGTAGGGTGGGGGCGCGCACAAGCAGCCGCACATATTTAGTTCTTGCGATGTGGACCTTTGCCTTCAACTTTACATATTTCGTTGTCGTGCTAGTCCATGTACAGGCAAGTGCAATTTAATGAAAATGATCATGAATTGGATTCTTAATGGGAATTTAAGTTGGATCTTTAGTGGCCATCCATCGAGATTTATGTTTCTTCACGCTAATGCATTCTTCTGACGCTGTTGAACACTTGGGTGTCCATCTAGTGTTGCGCGTACATTGCATATATGTACACTTTTGCTGTCCAGTGATGGAACAAAGACGCGCATGTATTACTGGACATACTCAGGTGTACTTACAGCTCTAATAATCTATCGCCGAGACCAAGGGGGCTTTTTCTCCTTTCTGTACCAAACTTTGTAAACTTTATGATTTGAGTTTTGTTTTCTTGGGTGCGCCCACCGTGAATAGGTTTGCTTTCTTTAGTACTTTCGTTCGTAAATCGTTTTTGCGTAGTGCTATCGCCGCGCTGTGCATGCGAATGCTGAGTTAGAGACGCTGACAACCTGCAACATATATGCGTAATTGTGTATACGCAAGCTGTCGGTAGGTATTAACAGTTGCTCGCATGTTTGTGCACCCACCCTTGCAGGCTCTGTGTCGGGGCTAACTGCTCTTCGTACTGCGTTGTGCTGTGTGTACGCATTCTAATACATGTCTGCCGCTCGGTGATGCACACAATTCGCGCATGTATTACTGGACATACACCTCAGGTGTACTGACAGCTCTAATAATCTATCG